GTGACCACCTACAGGGGTGGGATAGGGAGTGTGGGAGGGAGGGAGACGCAAGAGGGAAGACATATGGGAACATATGTATATGTATAACTGATTCACTTTGTTATAAAGCAGAAACTAACACACCATTGTAAAGCAATTATACCCCAATAAAGATGTTAAAAAAAAAAAAAGAAAAGATTGATACATTTCACTGCATAAAAATAAAACAAACTGGGCAGAGGCTTTCAACACATATCACAAATGGTTTAGCTAATATACAAAGTACTCCTACAAATAAACAAATATTGAAACCCACCCTGATAGAAAAATCAGCCAAGAAAATGGACAGTTCACAGAAAGGAACTAAAAATGGCTCTTATGCTTGTGAAAAGATGGTCAACTTCATAATTAGGGGAAAAATGCAAGTTAAAATTACTTTGAGGTGGGCTTCCCTGGTGGCGCAGTGGTTGAGAATCTGCCTGCTAATGCAGGGGACACGGGTTCAAGCCCTGGTCTGGGAGGATCCCATATGCCGTGGAGCAACTGGGCCCGTGAGCCACAACTACTGAGACTGCGCGTCTGGAGCCTGTGCCCCGCAACAAGAGAGGCCGCGATAGTGAGAGGCCCACGCACCGCGATGAAGAGTGGCCCCCGCTTGCCACAACTAGAGAAAGCCCTCACACAGAAACGAAGACGCAACACAGCAAAAATAAATAAATTAATTAATAAACTCCTACCCCCAACATCTTCTTTACTTACTCAAATTACTTTGAGGTAACTTTAAAACCACTTAGGAGATTGGAAGAGATCTAAAAGTTTGACAAGGGTCACCCAGGGTATGAGGAAAACAGGGCCCGCTGGTTAAGTGTGGAAATCGATACAACTTCTGTAGAGGTGGCTATGATTCAACATCTGTCACAATTACAAGCACACATACCCTTTGAGCCAACAGTTGCAGAAATTGAGAGATACACTTGCTCTTAAGGAAGTGAGGTGTTTCCTGGTTTATTGTAATGCTGTTTATAATAGCACAAGACTGGGAACAACCTAAGTGTCCAACGATAGAGGACGGCCTAAACAAGGTGTTGTTAGGATGGAATATTACACAGCAGCAAAAAGAAGGAAAAAGCTCTTCAAGGGCTGTTCAAGAATCTCCAGGCTACGTTAACAGAAGGAAGCAGGATGCCGAAGGGTGAGCGTACCATATGCTGACTTTTATGGGGGAAGAATGGAGTGAAACAATTATACACATCCGTGTTGCCATGCAGAAAGCAGAACTCTGGAAGGACCTGGGGACTGCAACTGGGTGGGGGGGCTGCTTCAGGAAGGGCAGTGAGGTGGCTGGGGCCTGGGGAGGTATATTTGTTCCCTCTTTTTTGAACTGTGTAAATATATGACCCCTTTTTCAAAAGAGGTGTTTTTAATTGAAAAGCATTCCAAATAAAATTAAAAGTTTAAAAATACGGGGAGGAATTCCCTGGCGGTCCAGTGGTTAGGACTTGGCGCTTTCATTGCTGGGGCCCTGGGTTCGATCCCTGGTCGGGGAACTAAGATCCTGCAAGCCGCATGGCCAAATAAATAAATAAATAGATAGATAAGTAGATAAATAAATAAAAATACGGGGAGATAAGGACAGAAAGCAGATTAATGGTTGGCAGGTGCTGGGGTCAGGGGCTTGGGGAATGAGTCCTTAATGGGTATGGGGTTTCTGTTTTGAATGATGAAAAAGTTCTGGAATTAGAGAGTGGAAATGCTCTCTGCCCCACATGGGGAATGTACTCAATGCCACTGAACTGTAGACTTTAAAATGGTTAAAATGGTACATTTTATGTTATCTGTATTATTATGCATGTGCATTATTACCACGATAATAAAAAATAACAACACAAGTGGCTGGGTGTTATTCCACACTGCCCCCAGAGTCAGGATGACACGAGGATGTAATTTCCCATGCCCTCAGCTGGCCTCAGGTCCCCAGGCGTCCTGTGTGAGGACATCACAAAGAACGTTATGCTTTGGATGCCAGGGCCTTAGCTCAACCCCTTCATCTGCACTCACTAAACTAAAGAAAAAGTACTGGGTCCCCAGCCGGAGAACATCCTGGCATGTTGGGCTGAAAAGGGAGGTAAACAAATGCTGGTCTCCAAAAGCCACCTTCCTGGGGGGAATCTGTGGACATGTCCTAACTGTCCGTCCTTCGCACCTAACTGCTCCCCAAGCTGGGTCTCCTCTGCACAGAACTGATCGGTTCTAGTCAAATGTCCCGAGTAGGTGGGAAGAAGAAAACTGTGAAAATTATGAAAAGAAAAGAAAAAAAGGAAAACATCCCTAATGTCACAGAACCAAATGCCCTAAGGGACAAAAACTGCAAACCAGCTACTAGAACTGCAATGTGTTCATTCAAATTTTGTCACAATTAAAGCTTCCACAGAAAGACTTTGCTTTCAGCCATAGCATGAAGTCTGAAACCAAATGCCTCTGGGTCTCTCCTCACGCGTCCCTCACCAAGTCCTGCAAAGTCATCCGCCTCCTGTGTCCCCGTATGGAGACAGTCCCGTGGTCTACATGGCCACCTGACTAAACCTCAGGGCACTGTCCTCGGCCCTCCCTGCTCATCTCTCGCCCAACCGGCCAAATCCCTCGTGTCCCTGAATCTCTCCGCCCCTGAATCTCTTTGCCTCCTGGCCGTCCCCCCAGCTCTGGACCGAGCGCATCCTCCACATGGCCTGAGAGGGGTCTTTCTCTACCTGCTCTATACCTGTTCGGAGCCCTCCAGGGCTCCCAATACCCTTGACAAGATCCCAGCTCCTCTGTGGTCCTGATGACATCTTCAGCCACCCCTACCAGGCTCCAACCTCATGCTTCCCCCCAAACATGCTGGGCTCTTCTTTGTACTATGTCTGTACTGATGTCTCTTCTCCCTCTAAGAGCCTAAGCTCCCCTCTTTGCAGGAAAGACCCCACTTCCTGTCAAATTAGAGGTAGGGTGGGCATTCTTCCCCTGGTCTCTCATAATGCCTCAGCTGCCTCCATCTGAGCACAGATCCCACTGGGTGGGGTTTTCAAGCGAAGAAGCTGGGTCTGCTCATCTCGGGGAACCCTGCATCACCCAACACGGGGCCTGGAACGTGACAAGCCTCAGAAAACGGATGAGGAGTGCACGGAAATGAGAAACACACAAAAAGCAAACCCAGGGAGGTAAACCCAGCAAGAGACACAGCAAGAGGGAAGAGATGCGGAGAGAGATGGGGATGGAGGGCAGCCGCCCTGCCACCTGCAGGGAATAGTGGAGAGCAGAGCAGGCCGGGTGCACTGTGAGGTTCTGGAAGGGCTGGATTCGGGGCTGGCCCCAACCCTTCTCCCTGTTCCATTCCACCATCAGCATGTGGTCGGTGAATGTCTTCCCGAACAGCAGGGGCTTGCTGGGGTCAGGCTTCTTATGAGGCTCCTGTGTCATCTCCAGCTGCAGGTCTGCAGCCTGAGAAAAGACAGGTGTCCTGGAATCTAACCACAACCTCCAATCTAAAAAACTAAAAACTTAGCCCCACAAATCCCTGGGGCTAAGACCCAGTGAGAAGAGGGAACTGTAGCCCCAGAGGCTTCTGGGACATGTGGTTTCTTCTCTTTCCCATGGCCTGATAGTGGGCAATTAGGCTACCCCATTGCCACCCACCTTCACCTTTGGACCTTGGACCTTTTGGAGATGCCCAAATCCAGCCCCCAGCCCTTGCCTCCCTCAGACCCAGTGGTCCAGGCTCCCAGCCCCTCTTCCTTGAGATCCAAAAGTATAGTCCCCTCCTGTCACCTTGAAGCTCGATGAGTCATATCTTCTGGGACCACACAGAAGCCAAGGGACAGGGAGAAATTTTCGGGTCCAAATCTGGGGGTGGGGACAGAAGTAAGAAAGGTGGTGAGGCCAGCAGACAGAGAGAGCAGAGACCCCTGGCACCATCTTTGCCACCTCCTGCACTTGGCAGGTCCCTCCGGCTGGCTCTGTCCCAGGCCTAGTACATTCTAGAAAGGGCACGTGGCCCTGGCCAAGTCACTTCCCCTGTCCTGATCAGCATGTGGCAGGAGGAAATCCCAAAGGAGGCCAAGTCCCCTCCCTGCCCTCACGAGGGCCATCCAATAAAGAGCTGAATCAGCTCCCATCCCTTCCTCCACGCTGGGGCAAAGTCAAACACAGGCGCCTCCTACCCCAGTGAACTTTGGCCCAGCCCTGAGACCAGATCAGACAGAGGACGACACAGGAAGGTGTGCAGGTAAGTGAAGGCCTCCCCGGGGGGGACCCAAATCCTGAAAAGAGTTAGAAAAGTGATGGGCCTATAGGTCATGCTTCCCCAGGACCCAGGAGCAGGGCCCACAGGTCCCTCCCCCTTCAGACCCAGGATTCCAGGCCCCCAGCCTGATCCTCCCTTACATCCAGGATTCCAGAACCCCAGCCCCTCCTCCCTCAGACCCAGGAGTCCAGACCCCCGGCCCCTCTTCCCTCAGACCCAGGATCCAGGCCCCCGGCCCCTCCTCCCTCAGGCCCAGGATCCAGATCCCCGGCCCCTCCTCCCTCAGACCCAGGAGTCCAGACCCCCGGCCCCTCTTCCCTCAGACCCAGGATCCAGGCCCCCGGCCCCTCCTCCCTCAGGCCCAGGATCCAGATCCCCGGCCCCTCCCCGCTCAGACCCAGGATCCAGACCCCAGGACCCTCCTCCCTCAGACCCAGGGATCCAGGCCCCCAGTCCCTCCTCCCTCAGGCCCAGGAGTCCAGGCCCCCAGCCCCTCCTCCCTCAGACCCAGGATCCAGGCCCCCAGCCCCTCCTCCCTCAGACCCAGGATCCAGGCCCCTCCTCCCTCAGATTCAGGATCCAGGACCCCAGCCCCTCCCCACTCAGACCCAGGATCCAGACCCCCAGCCTCTCCTCCCTCAGACCCAGAGTCCAGGCCCCCAGCCCCTCCCCGCTCAGACCCAGGATCCAGGCCCCCAGCCTCATCCTCCTTCAGACCCAGGAGCCCAAGTCCTTCTCTTTCAGGGTAATAGATCAACTGGGCTCAGCTTACCTGAAGCCCCAATCCCACACCCTGGACACCAGCAGTTCCAATTCCCTTCAGTTCCCAGGGCTGAGGGGCAGCCACATGGACCTGAGGACCACCCCGGTCATCAAGAGACACTGCTCAGATGAACACTTCCCTTGTGGTCCTGCCCGAGGCCAGCATGGGAGAGCAGGTCTGGCTGTGTCCAGCAGGATGGCTTCTCCCCAGTGGTCTCTGACCTCACGATACCCCTTTCCCCAGCCTGGTGGGAAGGCAGCTGTGTCATGAGGTTTGGGAGAGACAGAACAGCCTAGCCTGCTCCTGCCCTGTGAGCTGGGGGAACTGAGAACGGATGTGAATGGCAGAAGTCACTGGTCAGTAGGTGAGTCATGAGGAGAGGGGGGCTGCGGAGTTGTAATGTCCTAAAGTCTAGGCCATGAAGTCTGAGGAGTGGTCCTGAATGGTATGGGGCCCAAGAGCTTCTGGGATGATCAGAGTGTGGGTGTGGGTCCTGGGCATGGCCTCTAGGTGGCGCTGTGTAGCCTGTCCAAGCCACTGGCCTGCTTCTGTCCAAGAGGGGACAGGACACCCATGGAATGGAGAAAATTGGGATACGCAGGGCGGAGGCAGCCAGCATGTGGGCAGGAAAGCAGCTCTCAGACTCAGAGGGAGGCCGAATGGGAAAAAATAGGGAAGCGTAAGAATGAGAAAGAGAGACATGGAAATAGAAAACTTTAAAGAACAGAAATCAAGGCCAAGAGATGCCAAAATAGATATGATCATAAAGAGAGATCGAAACTGAGACAAGAGACGAGAGGGAGAGAAATTCAGACAAGGTAAAGCCCGGAGAAATCAAGAAAAAATAATGAAGGCAGGATAAACAGAAGCCATGAGAGAGGGAACAGGAGAAAGGAGAGGAACAGGCCAAGACCCAACTTAGGTGACAGCACAAAGTGAAAGGGAGACCTAGGGAAATGAGGAAGCACTGGGAGAGACAGAGCAATGCCAACAGCTGGAGAGAAACTGTCTCAGTGATACTTGGAGACAGAGATATCCAGGAGAGACAGAGAGGAGAGTCAGAAAAACACACCCACAGGGCAGAGAGAAGGTGCCAGGCACTGTTTCCAGATTATAAATCTGTACTGGCCATAGAGACCCTGTCACACTGGGAGAATCTCCCTTCATCCTCCCAGGACATTTTTCTGGGGGCAGGGGTCTCACTTCAGCTCGGGGAAGGTGCTTCACCGTCTGATACCCCAAACCATGGGGGTGGGGTGGGGGTGGGGAATTGGGCCCAAAGGAGATCTCAGATGATAGATGAGCCTTTGGGACAAAGAGTATAAAAGGATTGGGGCTGAATCAGGAAATGAGAAATGGTTTGGAGTATGGTGGGGTATGCACAGGGCAGGGCTCTGTAATATGATGGAACCTCCATTGACCTAGTCACAGCCCAGGGCAGGAGTGTCATCATCAAAGCCTAGATTGTCCCAATCACAGCCCAGGCCTGTCTCAGTCATTGAGACTCAGAAAGTAAACACCTGTCCTGCTATCCATCAGGCTGGGATAAAAGTCCCAGATAAAGTCAGGTGCAAAGTTAACAGGAACCACTTCTCCCAACGTTATGCTACAGCTGTCAAGGGTTGTAAAGATCCCCTTCTTTGAGTTGTTATTGTTTCCTTCCTCACTGAGAAGCCCTGTTCTCTAGAATCACAGACTCTCGGAAGCTCTGCCTGTTGACATCCTATCAGTAAGAATGGAGGGGTCCCACTCTCGCCTGGAAGATCTCTGTCACTGACAATGAGATGCTGCCTCGATTTCCAACCCAGGTGCAGAGTTTCAGATAAGGGGTTTCGGGGACACAACATTCTACTTCTATCTTTAGTTCCAAGAAAATAGGGCCTTGGGTCCAATTCCCAGTCCAGACCTGAGACTGAACTCTGCGTTCATCCTACTCCCACTCCAGAAATCCTGGGCGTCTTATCCCGGCGCTCCCAAAGGCTGACTATTCCCTCCTAATCCATCCCGCCACCCCAGCCCCATGCTTCTCCCATTACCGTCTCCTCCTCCATGTATCCTTCCTTATATGTCCCATCTGGGTCCCCTTCCCACCGATTACCTCTCTCCCTTCACCCCACTTAAAGCCTAATGCTCCTTCCAAGGGGCCCCCTCCTCCTCGGCCCAGCAGCGGAACCCGAGTGCGGGAGGAGCGGCGCCGCGCCGGACTGGCCACCGGAGAGGGGTCCGCCCGGAAGTGCGCCGCACCGCAGGGCTCCCTAGCCCCCGGCACTGGTCCGCGAACCCACCTGCCTCAACGCCGCTGCAGCCATGGTCTGTGAGGCAGGTATCTGTGCCCGCCCAGGGCGCGGCCCGGGAGAAAGACGTTCCTGCCCCGCCCTGCTCACGCCTCCTCCCGTGGGATGGCCGGCCTGGCCTTCCCAGTTACAGGGCGCCCGCGGGGAGCTGGGCCCTGCTGCAGAGCGCATGCGCTGGAACCCGCGAGGCGAAGGGAGTACGTGGAAATACACCCTCCTCCCAGCCCCCACGCTAGAGCGTGCATTCAAAGGTTTTCAAAAATGCATTTCAGTAGATACAGTACTGTTGTGGAGCGCTGAAGAGGATAAGCAACCCGAGGGGGAAAGGCAGGGAGCAGAAACCTTCACATACCACGATTCTTGGTGAAAAGAAAAAGCACCCTATAAATGTCGGTGGGCGCAGATATTATGTAAAAATGCACCGTTAAACGGAAAGGACTCTGAAGAGGGTGGCAGGTAGGGATGAAGGGGGAGCTTCACTCTGTCCAGATACTTCCCTGTTTGAATATACGTTTTCTTTCCAACGAGAAGATATATGTGTATTCTTTGTAACTTCTTAAGGTATAAACATACACTCGGTTCACCATGCCTCCTTCCAGCTCCCTTCATCAGTGACACCCGAAAATTTTCAATCCCCCAGTTCATCAATGAGCTTCAATGAGCAGCCCGTAGAGCAGGATTTCCTGGTTACTCCCCTTCAAGAGTGTCGCCCCAACTTCATGACCCCCAGGGGCAGAGTTAGACGACTACAGCCCCTCAGGATCCCTCTAATCGCTAGCAATTCAAACCTGCACCAGTGTCCCCTACATCGTGCTCCGCGGTCACTGTGCCCCCCAAACCTTCCGTGGTCAGAGTTCCCCCAACTCCTGCATCCAGGTTACTGTGACACCAAAATATTGTTCCTCCTCTATCCTCAAACTCCGTTCCCTAGGTCACTGAGTCTGCGTAATTCTACCCTGCGACATTTTGCTCCCAAATTCTGTTCCCCAGTCCTAAAAGCCACAGGCCCAGCCAGTCAAATTCTGACCCCTCTCCCGTAGGGTGTCTCCCTGTTTTCCTTCCCTCCTCCCCAGTCCTCCCCCACCTCCTCGGCTGGAAGCAGTCAGGACGCGGCGCCGAGACAGCGCCCGCCTCCGCCGCGGCCAATCAACGATTGCCTCACGCGCCCCCCACCCCCAAACCGCCCACCGCCGCGGCCAATCCGCAGCAGCGATGCAGCTCCACCTCCACACCTGGGTGACTTACCCCCAACTGGGCCCCTCTCCCCACCTCGGGGAACCGAGTCTCCCTCCTCCCAGCCCGGGAGTCCACGCCCCTTAGTTTCCTCCTCCCTCCTCCCTAGTTTCCTCCTCCAAAAACCCAGGAGTCCAGCCCCCAAGCCTTTCCTTCCTCTGACCCGGGAGTTTCAACCCGACGGCTTTCTCTTCCATCAGGACTTTTGGCGCTGGCCACCCTCCTACTCCGCGGGCAGCAAGGTCAAAACTCCTTTTCCCTAAGCGCCAAGAATAAAGTGCAGATCTTTTTGCTTTACCTCCTCCATTATCTCCTAATCGGAGCTGAATTTACTCTCCCCTACGGGCCTTTTTAATTAGCGTGCTGGTGAAGCCGACCTGCAATACATTTCCCAGGAGACCCTGGCTACAGGCTCCTGCTGCAAAGCCTGCCGGGAGTTGTAGTCCCTCGGGTCCAGGCCACGCGTGGGAATGCGTGGGGCTGGGTGGGGCGGGGGGACGGGGTCATGGTGTGATAGGACTCATAAAGGGCCGAAAATAAATGTAATGATGGCTTCCTCCTTCTGGCTGCAGAGCGCTTTTAAGGGAACCTGTGTGGTGGTTTGGCACATTGGTAAGTGGGCTTGATGTCTAGAGTTGGGGGGGGGGAAACTGGAATTTGGGAGACTGAGTTTTGGGTGGGAGAGCCCTAGTCAGGGAAGCCCAAGTGGAAATGTGGGAGATCACGAAGGGATGGTGGGGGCCTCCACGGGGGTGCGCCGACCTGCCTTGCACCCATACCCCAGCTCCGCACCCCCAGTCACTAGCAGCTCAATCCCAGTGCAGAAGCTGGCTTCGGAGGCCAGGAAAACAGCGGCAGCCCCCACCTCCGCTGGCTGGCCCATGCGGCCCAGGGGCTGGGGAGAGACAAGGGGAAAAGGAGGGTCAAGAGAAGCCACCACCTGACCGCCACCCCCATGCCACCTGGCCCTGGCTCCCACCCTACCTGGGCCAGCGTGCCCTCTCGGATTGTGACTGTGGGGTCAGGCGTTGAGGCTGCCAGCTCTTCCCACAGTGGGGTCCAGATGTTTCCTGGGGAGATGCTGGGGTGAGGCAGGAGAGGGGGTCAGGGAAGTCTGCCACAAATACTGCCTCTTGGGCTCACTCCCAGTCTTCCCAGCTCCCCCAGGAGGCTCTCAGCCCACGTGGAGCTGCTCACCAGTTGGCACGGACACCATATTGACTCTCATCCAGGGCCAAGGCTTTGGTCATGGCTGTTACTGCCCCCTGCAGAAGACGGGACATGGAGAAAGTTCAGACCAGAGAAGATGAGGTTCCTTTTGTCCTCTCCTCCCAACCAGGGGGCATCAAGCAGGGGCATCGGAAGAGGGAAGTCACGCTCTCCCTGCAGGTTTCATTGGGCTGCACCAGGCTCTGTCTCTTGGGAGACCCTTGATATATAACAACATGTCACAGGTGGCCATGCCTCAGGGCTGAGGTTCCTGAAGGAAGGGGCAGGCTACCTCGGTGGTGTACCTTGGTGGCCACATAGGGAACCGCCTGGGACTGGCCAATTGCCCCGACCAGGCTGGAGATGTTGATGACATTCCCGTGGCTCTTGCGCAAGTGAGGGAGGGCGAGCTGGGGAGACAGAAAGCAGAGTAAGCCACCCAAGCCCCTGGATCTCCGCCTGCCCCGTTGAAATGCATCCTGATGGCCATCTCCCGGGTATGCTCACTAGTTGATCTGGGAACCTGTAGGGGCAGCAGCCAGGGTTCTGGGTGCACCTTCTCTGGTTTGCCCCAGGGTCTCTGGGTCTCACCCCTTAAGGAGTCTCTCCTTGTCTGGAAGGGATTTTTCTGTCTCTGCCTCCCCTTTCTGTGTCCTTGTCCCCCTCTCTCAGGGTCCCTGTGTCTCTCTCTAGGCCTTTTTGTATATTACTCAAAACTCCTGTCCAGGGCTTCCCTGGTGGCGCAGTGGTTGAGAGTCTGCCTGCCGATGCAGGGGACAAGGGTTTGTGCCCTGGTCCGGGAAGATCCCACATGCCGTGGAGCGGCTGGGCCTGTGAGCCATGGCTGCTGACCCTGCGCGTCTGGAGCCTGTGCTCCGCAACAGGAGAGGCCACAACAGTAAGAGGCCTGCGTACCGCAAAAAACAAAAACAAACAAAAAAAAACTCCTGTCCATAACAAGATAGGAAAATGCAAGAGAGACCAAGATGGCTGCATATTTTACAAAAATGGGAGGAATCTCTTTTATCCGTGGAGGGGAAGATGGTTTCTCTGAGTTTTAGGGAAAGCTCTGTGGTCAGAATGTGACATGGGAAGACTTCATGAAATGTACTCCCTATTCTGCCAACAGAATTGGCAACCCCTGGCTATCCGGAGGTCCCTAAACTAGCTCTCAACTCTCTCTCTCTCCCTTTCCTTCTCTCTCCCTCCCAGTCGGTCTCTGTTCTTCCATTACACATGACCTTGAATAAACTCAAATTCTATCCCTCCCCTTGCTTGCCTTGGGCAAGGACTGTTCCTGCCATGAAAGATTAATGGGCACAAGCTGGCTCACCCAAGGGATACTCAGAATGGGAAGCTAAATTAACTCTCTCTCTCCGGTTCACCCCACCAGCTCTTTCTAACCTCCACTCCCTCAGAAACAGCCTCCACCCTGTCCTCAGTGCTCTATCTTCAAACACTCCCCGAGTTCCAACTTCAGGGCCTTTGCATTTGCTGTTCCCTCTGCTCAGAATGTTTCTCCTGACACAGCATGTGACTCACTCCTAGGGTGACCAACTTTCCCCAGTTTTCTGGGGACATGGGACATTCGGTCCACAGTTTCAGGGCTAAAGTGGGACAATACTATCCCCTCAGCAACTTCAAATCCTGTTCAAATGTCATCTTCTCAGTGAGGATTCCCTCACTGTTCTATTTAAAACTGTAACCTGCCTACCCCTGGGTCCCCAGCCCTCTTCCTGATTCCTTTTCCCTGTGTCACACACCTCCTTCTGACATGCCATATATATTTTTATTACTTGCTTATTTTTTTTTTTTTTTTTTTTGGCGGTACGCGGGCCTCCCACTGCTGTGGCCTCTCCCGTTGCAGAGCACAGGCTCCGGACGCGCAGGCTCAGTGGCCATAGCTCATGGTCCCAGCCACTCCGCGGCATGTGGGATCTTCCCGGACCAGGGCACGAACCCGTGTCCCCTGCATCGGCAGGCGGACTCTCAACCACTGCGCCACCAGGGAAGCCCTATTACTTGCTTATTTGTTTATTCTGTGTTTCTCCCACCAGAATGCAAAAACCTATGAGGGACGGTTGGAATTTCTTATTTTGATTCATCCCCCATACTAAGGTGTCTGGCACATAGTAGGTGTTCAATAAATATCTTTGGCATCAATGAATGAATTTATTGAGGATCTATTATGCACCTTCCCCTGTTCTCAGCTATTTTTTAATAAATTTATTTATTTATTTCTGGCAGCGCTGGGTCTTCGTTGCTGCGCACAGGCTTTCTCTAGTCACGGTGAGCGGGCGCTACTCTGCATTGCAGTGCTCGGGCTTCTCATTGTGGTGGCTTCTCTTGTTGCGGAGCTCGGGCTCTAGGCGCGCGAGCTTCAGCAGTGTAGCACATGGGCTCAGTAGTTGTGGCTCGCAGGCTCTAGAGCGCAGGCTCAGTAGTTGTGGTGCACGGGCTCAGTAGTTGTGGCTTGCGGGCTCTAGAGCGCAGGCTCAGTAGTTGTAGTGCACGGGCTTAGCTGCTCTGCGGCATGCGGGATCTTCCCGGACCAGGGCTCCAACCCGTGTCCCCTGCATTGGCAGGCAGATTCTTAACCACTGCTCCAGCAGGGAAGTCCTGTTCTCAGCTCTTTACACAGGTTAGCTCATTTAATCCTCACGACAACCCTAAAATGAGGTCTAGTCGACAGCGCCTT